TAAAGATAATTAGGCTTCAGAGTTTCAGAATGGAGCAAAGATGTAACCTGGAAGTCATCAAGAGATATACATACACACAATATATTTAAAAAGTATTTGAAAAAAGATTCAGAGAAGTCAAATTAAATGAAAAAAACATGGGAGAAGGAAATCTACAGTACTGTCATAGAGTATATGTCATACAGATGTTACATGTAGAAATTTTATTTTGTTTTAGAAGAACATATTTAGAAAATGAGGTAAGTTAAAAGGAACACATACTCTTATTTTAAGAAAAATAGAATACAGCCAATTAGAAAAGAAAGAAGATCAAGAGGTAACTACAGTATATTGTTCTCCAGGTTATTTTTAATCTTTCCTCAAAACCAAATCAGAAACCTAAAACATAAATTTCCAAAAATACCTTTTCAACAAGTGGATATCTCCTATACTCACTGTGAATAAGGTGGGGTTATTTTTGGTTTTATTTTGTTACTGTTTGTTTTCTAAAGGCAGGCAAAGTTGACACTTTAATGCAAACATGATGTTTCTAAGCCAATATTGCATTGTCATCTTCTGTCAAATCATATAAAACCCAAATTCCCACATGGCATCTTAAGTTTTTGAGCAACTTTAACAGAAACAAAAAAGTGTGTGCCTCTGTTTTGTTTCTGGTGGTACATAAGTTCTAGCCCAGCACTGAAAGACTGCTTTCTGGGCTACTGTTTCTGATACTCATCTGTCCCATTTATTTTCCACACTAGCACATTCTTTGCCTACTTTTCTAGTCCAAGGTGATCAAATTTATAGAGCATTGATTTCTTATATCAGCTTAATCCTAGATTGGCTCATTGCGACACCTTTTGGCATGCTATTCTAGTTTCTTGTCCTCATCACATACACTAGAGAAGTAGCCAATCCTGAATTTAACACTAGTTTACAAATTGTGGTACCTCTGATGAGTCTCTTATGCTCTCTAAACCTCAGATTTCTTACACATTAAAATAATAATAATGCCTATCTTTTAAGAGTTTATTATTAAGTGTTTTAATATACTTAATTTTTTTTTCAGTATTGGGGACTGAACCCAGAACCTCTGCACTGAGCTACGTACCCAGCCCCCCCTTTTTTGTTTTAAATTTTGAGACAGGGTCTTGTTAACTTGCTAAGTTTCCCCAACTGCCTCTGCTAGCCTCCCCAAATGATGGGATTATAGGTCTGTGGCCCTATGCCCAAATTTATACTTCTTAAGCATAAATTTAGGTACAGGAGTAGGATTCTCAGTTCTATTCACACACCTGCTTCTCAGTTGTGTCTCTGAGTATGATCCTCATACACCACTTCCCAACTCTGGTGGACAGCAGAAATGCTTTCTCCTTTCTAGCTTCCAGAGTCCTGGTAAGGCCTAACAGTTCTCTGGCTCTTCAGTAAAAATAATGCCAGTTCCACAGTTCTACAGGATCCTCATTTGAATTTTATTTTTTTTCCCCAGTACCAGAGATCAAACTCAGGACCCTGTGCTTGTCAGGCAGGCATAGCACCACTGACCTACATCCCCAGTGCTGAATTTTAGTTCTTTTGCATAGATTTTACAAACACCTGCTTTTCCTGGAATCTGAGGTGATTTGTAGGTTTGAAGACTTCTAGGCATCAGTCCAGGGGGGTTTGGAACTGGATACTGTAAAAGTGCAAATGAGTAACCCTGCAAACCTTGAAGATTTCTTCAGTTATTTTTGGTGTCCTTAGGCTTGAAGAAAGATGGCTAGGACAGACTAGGCAAATTTAGGGAAACAAACAAACAAACTTGTTTTGCCAACTTTTCCTAAATGATTAACATCCCTACGTGCAGAGTTGAGCAGGGATGTGACCTAGAGTTTTAAGGTAAAAAGGAAGACAAAATATTGAGTTTCCTTGTCTACTTTCTACCTATCTTAATTTCTTCTATTCTACCTCATAAAGGTCAATTCACTGTCTTCTTTCTTTTTTTTTTTTTGGTACTGAGGATCAAACTCGGGTACTTGTGCTTGCAAGGCAGGCGGCAGAACCATTGAGCTAAATACCTGGCTCGACTGTCTTCTTTTTTAAGCTATGACCAGACTGCTTTTCCACTGAACACTTCTGGTTTCCTTAAGGGCCTATGTTCTCTATTATCCTCACATCTTTTTATAAAAGCCCATTCTTTCATAAAAATATTCCACAATATCATGTTATAGAAAAAACAAAACAAAAAAACCCTCCCTAGTTGCAAACCTGTCCTTTAACTTACCAAATGACTTTCACCAAGTCATATAACCTACTTGGGATTTAGTTGTTTTTAATCTACAAAACAGGGAATAATATGTCCTACACATATAATTACTTAAGAAGCTAAAGACCAAATACAGTAATACAGGTGAATATGGCTTGAAAATTATAGTTTTATGCAATGCAGAAAGTATTATACATTCAATGAAGAGGAAGTATAGAATAATAGTGAAGATAAAAGAATCAAAAATCAAACTGCCAGATGGAATCCTGGCTCTATCATTTACTAGGTCTACCTTTTAATATGTAAAATGAAGACTACAGTATTTATCCTACATGATATTAGCTCAATGATATCAGCTACTGCTATCATTAACATCTATTATGTGTTAGGCATTGTGATAGGTCCAGGTGAAAAAGTGGAAAAGACAGACATGGATAACATATTTGTTAAAACCTCTATTTCCGGGCCAGGGATTTAGCTCAGTGGTTCTGATGCCTGCCTTGCAAGAGCAAGGTCCCAAGTTCAATCTCTGGTACAGAAAAAAAAAAATTCTATTTCCTACTTTATATATTAGATTTTTTAAATCATTCATGGCATATATACTTCAAAGTAAACAAAATTCTAGAATGTAAATAATTTCCATAGAACATCAAATTAAGATGCCATAATTCCTCTATTTCTTTTCTGTGAAAATTTCCAGTGAGTATATAATGACTCTGGGATTTCTTTTCCTAATCTATCACTTGAGTTAAAACTGTTCTGATGACTTCTGAGTAAACTATCTGGGATATAATTCTATCATACATAAATGAGCTAAAATAGCGTTCTCAAACTAACAGACCATCTGCTTCTCAGTCACCTATACTATTAACTAAAAGGAAGCTTTCTAGGCCCTATTTCAGATCTATTGGTCAGAAACTTACAGGAATGTGGACTTCCAATAAGTTCCCAATGTGATTTATTTGCAATCCCATTTGAGTACCACATTCACTCCCAAGGTATGTTTGTGTGGGGGGTCCATTTCTTAAGAAATCTGTAACCAAATACTGAATAATGATCCAAACCTTCACAAAGGAGAAAGAAAAGTAATCCTCAGAATAAAATTTCACGTGCCTGTCTCTTAACAGGTTGGTGTGGACAATCCACAGAGATTAAGACTAAAACTGACTGGAACAGATATATCTTAACTCTGAATGTTCAAGAAACTCCTACTCCAGAGGCCAAAGGAAAGGGTGGAAAATGGGACACTGAAAAGAAGCAAAGAAAACAGTTTAGTGCAACAGTCACATCTACTAAAATTGGGGTTTGATGATTTCAGAAAATGGAACTACTTTCTTAAACATAGGCGACTAATAGGGCTGGGGATTTAGCTCAGTGGTTTCACCACCTGCTGTGCAAGCACAAGGACCCGAGTTCAATCCCCGGTACCAAAAAACCCACAAAAACCCAAAAAAACATAGGCGACTAATGCTAGAGCTCCCTGCTCCAACTCTACATCTTCCACAAAACTCAGATAATCTCTCGAACGTAAATCTTGCTATTTTGGGGTCAATTTGATCCTGTGACCCTCTGAACAATCAAAAGCAAGGAGGAAGATGATCTTTTGATAAAAATAAACTGAAACAACTAGCTAACATCTATGCCTCTTGGTGAGACAGACGGTTAAAGAGACCTCACAAGTCACTAAAAAGAATCGAGCAGCTCTGAACTCCTAGAGGGTGTGAACTTTCAAAATAATAACAATTCAATGCTAACAAAATAGTTCTGTCCACCAGTAGCCTGAGACCCGCCCTGGTTCAGTTAATAAAATGCCTTTTGGTTCCTAGATTGCCGATAAGGTAAGCATTGGGACTGCAGGAAATCGGGAGCCCAGAGGGCAAAGGACGCCCCACCCGCCCACACTCACCATCCAGAACCAAATCTGGAGCAGCAGAGTGGGCGGGCGGGCCCGATTTCTCCCGAATGCTGTGCTCTCTCTTCTCCGCCTGCGTGAGCACCGCCCACCCACTCGTGAACCCACTGGGCCTCTCCTTTCCCCTCCCCTCGGCCTGGTGCTGAATCATGAGCCCAGCATCTCCAAAAGGTAAATCAAAGAACAAAGCCGGGGGCGGGGGGTTGGGTCGTCTGAATGGGGTAGCAAGTCCGGGTGGGGCAGAAGGCTGGAAACCACAACTTTGCTTCCCCTTTTCCAAAATCCCCTCACTCAAATCCCAAATTGAAAAAGAGTATTGTAGCCCTCGGGGACTCCCGAGAGGATGCCCCTTTTCCGGATGGTGCGCCCCGCCTCATTGTTCCAGCCCGGAGCCCGGAGCGGAGCCCGCCGTTGGGCCGGCCAGCTCATGTGCCCGGGGGAAGGGGGGCTAGGGCTCCGCCTGCTGGAGATCAGACCGTGAGCCCCTCCTGGCGGGACAGCATCAGCCCCTTTCCACCCCGGCCGCCAGCCTCTGGCCCTGTCTCCAAGGCGGAACCCACGAGTCCCTGTAGGGCTGGGTGGGTGCTGTCCAAATGCTGGGCGGAGGCGGCACAGCAAGAGGGCGTCTTGAGGCCTGGCCAGCACGGGGCGCAGCCCTCGCCCCTAGCAGATCCCCAGGCACCACTCGCCAGTCACGGTCACGGTCACGGTTCCTCGGCCCTGGCCCACCCCGCTCTGTGGCAGCCTCCTCCCAGCCGTGGGCGCTGGCACCGAGCAGTCCTGGGCCCTCCTTGGGTCCTCAGAAGCCGAGAGCAGAGGACAGCCAGGTGCAGGCTGCACAAGTTGCCGCTGGCCACTCACCCCAGCTGTTCCTGTCCCTGCGGTTCTTGGCCATAGTGGTCCTCGGGCTGGGGGCGGGGAGGCGCTGTCACTGCGCTCGCTGTGGCTGGCGGTGGCAGGCTCTGTGCCCGCGCTGGGCGAAGCTTGCTGAGACTCTGAGGATGTTGCTGTGGCGCTAGAGGAAGGAGGGGGAGGGAAAGGGAGGAGAAAGCGGATGAACCAAGCTCAGCATCACAAGCTCGAGTTCCCACAAACACCAGCGTCACACCCTCCCTGCCTCGGCCCACCCTGGAGTGCGAAGACAGTGACAGAGGATGTACTGCAACATTTCCAATGGAAAACACACACACTCACACACACACACACACACACACACACAGCACCCCCTCGTACACACCCTCTAAAAGAATCTGACAGCACTACCTAGTGACAGGAACACACACACCATAGGCTGCATTATTCTGGGTGTTCAAATACCCGCTTCCTCTAGAACTATTACCCATTGGCATATACGGGCTGGTAACATTTATACAGCTAAAGCAGTTAAAATAATTCACATTGGTCCACCGGGCATCTTTTTTTTTTTCCATTTTAAAAGCTAGGTCATGTTATGTTAATAAAGAGAGTATTATGTACTTTAGATATGTATACTGAGCAGGTCTACTTTTTAAGTTAGGTAAGCAGAATTTATATCAAGAAGAGCAATATAATCTGTAGAGTTAACCTGTAACTAGCTCAACATTTAGTAGGCAACATTTCCCACTAGGTTTGCAGAGGTAACATCTCAAGTTTTAGTCCAATACCAAATATTTGAAGAAAATCATACTACATAGTCTGAGTGGGTCCTGGAAGCCATCAAGGCTGCAGATAATTTTGAGTGAAAAGCCAAAGGCAATATTTTGAAAAAATATTCTTAGTCTCTTCCTCTTTGCTTTCTTCCTCTCTTCCTACAAACTTGGTTGTCAGCTTTCTAGAAACACTGTCCCTTCATGCTCCTTGACCCACTTCATCCTATTCTTCATCTCCTCACTTTTCTCTTGCATTTGGATGCTGCCCACACTCTCTACTGCTAAGTTCTCCCTGGAAGATCACCCCTAGCTTCTTAATGACCTGACCCATGGTTTCTGCTTATTGTTCACCATAAGCAACTCCTTTCTCTGCACTCTCTAAACACAATTCATTCTGATGGCTTCAGATAGGATCTCCCTGCTGATTCCCAAATCTGTATGTCTAGAGAATCATCACACAATAAGCATATAACTGCCAGAGATTATCACCAGCTTGTTTTCCCAATGAAATTTCAAAATCAAACTCTCTCACCTACCACTACCAAATTTTATGCATTCCATATTATAGTTACCATATCCCCCCCCCCAGAAGACTGGGTCCTTTATTAATTTTTGCTCCAAAAGATGCCTCAGGGTTTATTTTTTAGGAGGTCTTATTATTTCATATACAACAGTCTACATTTATTCAAATAGAGTCATCTTCTTCTGGAACATTGTCATAACTCTCCAAACCCTGAATTCTGGCCTGTATTTCTTGGGACTCTATTTCCTGTAGAACCATTGGCCCCAATATGTTGCAACCAGCAACAGAACTCTCTTTAAATGAGCACTTCTTGTCCATGTAGCCTGAGGGCAGTGCATTGATGACACAGCTGTCAGTGATTTTACCCCACGAGTTCTTCACCTAGGTCACAACTTCTTACAGGGTGGGATTCACAAAGTTTCCACTAACTCAAGTGTTAACTGAAGACTTACGAGAGAGGAGTGGCAACAAAAATGGTGACAGTCAAGAATGATGGTCCACACAAAAGCAACAAAAAATTGCAGGCACCAAAATTCAGAAAATGTTTATTTCACATGAGTGCATTAAGTACATCTGTTACAACACAATGTGTTGAATTATAAAGATTCATATTAGACACAACCATGTCCGTTCATTATCAAGTGTCGATATGCATTGTGTCTGTACTCTGATTGGTCATTTGGCAGTAAGTCTCATGTTCATCTGTTTACATTGGAGTTTACCTCTCGTCCAAAGACACCCACTTGGGTATATACAATTGCTTGATTATAGTTTATATTATCATTTACTTTAAGCATTAATGCAATATTATGTATATTTAATTATATATTAATATTTTATAATTCATTATGTCTATCATGTGTTGCAACAGACGGATTAAATGTGTCTATCTGACAATCTTAACTGGGGTTTATTTTCAGAGTAGGGCTTATATTGTAAGTAACCTGAAAAATCATACTAGGCCTTACTACTAGGTTGCCACAGGTTCCAATTGTGTGGTAATATTAGACATGTAAACACTAAGCAGCCCTCTGCTGCATACCTGGGTTCCACAGATAATCTTCCTCATTCCCTTTGTGGAGCAAGAACCAATTTCCCTGTGGTCATTAGGACTGATTACCCAAACCAGTACAACGTCCCCCTCTAATTGTTGGTTCAGTGGTCTGGAGACCTCAAGATGGCCAGGTGATAGTTTCAACTTCCTATTTAATAGAATTGTGACTGTGTCATCTGGAGGAAGTATCTGTCTCTGGGGGACTAAGGCCTTCAAACCCACCAACTCTACTGTTCTTTAAATTGTTGATTTATTTTATATAACATTAAATAATGATATCAGAAACTAAGGGCAACGAACAATCCATGTACAACAGAACTACCCAGAGGATTGATTTTATGAACACTGATCCAGTTTTTAACAAATTGGTATACAACTTGATATTTATGATGTCTACTACAACTGTACCAAAGATAAAATATTTAAAAGCAACCATGTGCATGTCAAGTTTTTTCCTCATAGATGATCACCACTTTGAGCAATCTGATGTATCTGAAACAGGAGTCTACATCAGCAAAGTGAGGACTTGTACAACCTACAGCAGCCAATCTGCCTCTTCTACTTCACTTAGAGCCCCATGCTAGCTGGCTTCCTGGGAGAAAGGAATGGACAAGTTCTGGGTGTCAAATTCCAGCAAGGAGCACAATAATCCATTTTAAGAATCTTCATTCTGGGATGGTTCTGCAATTTTTAAAAATTAATCTACAAATTCCACAAACAAGGGGTCTTGCATGTTGGGCTCTCATGAACTTTGCTTCGCAGTCCCCATGATCAAGGCTGACCATCAACTATCTCAGGGGTGGATTCAGCAATAAGCTTCTTAATGTTGCAGATTTATCTAAATTCTGCAAACAACAATAACAACCTGTCCTCTTCCTCATTGCTACTGGGAAAATCAGCTACACAGAAATCATTATCATCATTTTCTTCAGGCTCTGTAGTTTCTACAGGAGGGGGCTGATCTTTTTTTTTTTTTTCAACAAGAGAAGTTGTTTCTGGGTTGCACTGCTCTTTGTGCTTCTGGAAGCAGAGCAAGTCCAATGTTAGAGAGACAAAAATCCTTTAAGAGAGCTAGTAGGAATAATAGAAGAGGCACTTCTACCCCTGCCCTTCAGTACTCAGGCACATGCACTTTGAATATGGGGAAGGTGGCTACTGGGTCAAGACCTACACCATATCCCCAGAGGGGTCGCCTCTCAGCCAGCACCCCAGCTGATCCTTCAACAGATCTTTCCCCCATTCTATTAAACTAGGTCCTCCTGAGTGGTGGGCTTGAGCTAAGGTCAGTTAACTCCATGGGCATAACTGCTGTCACACTTTCCTCACAGGAATCAGTTCCTTGCTCTAAGAGTCTAAGATGTTGTTTGTGATGCACTGTGAAGTAAGATATTGTGTAAGTCCATTAATTGTGCTGCTGGTAGGAGCTTTACTGGTCTCTGGATATGTATCTGTTCCTATGAAGACAAACTGCTTTTCTCTTTTATAGTGGAAGGGATCTCGTGTGTTGAAATTACCACCTAAATGGTTGGGTCTCTGCAACAGCCTCTGCTCTAAGAAGGCTAAACACTCCACAGCTGAATTACTCCTGGCAAGCAGAGGTCCCTGTTGTTGAATCTACTCTTAGCCTAATTCCCACTGCCACATAAGCCCACTGAGCAAACTCTAGGGTGGCTGAGTAAACAAGACAACTGACATCCATAGGGCAAATCCTCTTTAAAACTGATCACCAAGATCTCACCTCTGGTGACAAGTAATGTGGTTCACAAATACTTTCACATTCTGAGCAATTTTGAGAATCATCTATTATACCTTTTCTACTGACTCTCATCTCAAATTTTTTTTAAGTCATTAACCAATTTGTTAGCTACCATGAATAAATCAGCATAGATTCATATCTTAGGCCAACTTCCCTTCCTAACAAAGATGACAATTAAATGGACTACATAAAGTCAGGCCCAGTGAGAGAGTTTCCCTTCATCACTACCTTTCAGGGCCACTCCATTATGGAATAGGATCATAACTCAGTAGGTGGCTGCTTCAAATTGGTGCTAGAATATCAGGTGGACTATTCATAAACCAGGCCTTAAATTTTCGTTCCTCTGCTAAATGGCTATGAGTCCATAAATATGGGTTTGGAAAAAGAAAGATGTCAAAGAAGTAAGAGCCGATGCGATGGAAGTTTGTCCACGTTATTTACTTGTGCCTTCCAGATCATCTCGGGCTTCCCCAGTGTACATTCTTGTATTTACAATGGAATTCTGCAGTCCATGTTCAATTTGTTTCAGTAAATCAGATAACACTCTATTCCTAAAGAGCAGTTCATGTCACATAATCACTTAGTATCCCGTGGTCTGGTGTTAAGTCTCTACCAAGGCCTGGTGGCAAGCCTAAGAGTTGCCTTCATGTGGAGAATAGCTGTCAGCAAATAGGCACATGTGTGTATTCCAAAACCTTAGGTAGAATCCCTAGCACTCAGATTCTCTCATCTGGGCTTGTAAAAGATTCCATGCAGTATCTTTATTTTCCACTGGGACTACTGAGTCCTAGAGCCCGAGTGTCAGGGCTGCTTGCAGCACAGCATGGACCATCAGTAGGGCATTATGCTGTTCCAAGTCCAGTGAAAACCTAAGGCTCATAAATTATCATGTAAATGGGTCAAAGATCAGCAAATGTGGTATGCTGTCTTCAAAACCCAAGTGGGTCAACCAGTACTACATTTTTCTTTGAGGTAGGTGATCCAAGGTATAGTACCAGAACTCCACTGGGCGTTAGAAATTTCAGTAATGTGGCAGGTCTCTGAACTGAGTTGA